TAACTAACCATCTTTGTCCACCTGCAGCCTCAGTGCAGAAGAACTGGCAGCTTTCCAGAAGGAACGAGCCGTGGTTTTGGCTGCACAGAAAGAGGCAGATTTGGCAGCCCAGGCAGCAGCTGCCAAGAAGTGATCCCAGCCTTCCACACTCTGGAATTTTGAAAGAAGAGCCGAGAAGAGAGCCTACCGAGAAAGCTGAACCAAAGGAGAGGAAAGGACTTCATGATTTATAGTTTCCTGACTTCTTATGTATATTTCCATACATATGGCTGTGCTAATGGGTCATGCTGGAATAAACATCCTTTGTTACCCACTCTCAATTTCCCTCTTGAGAACTCAGAGATGGGGACTAATACTGACAGTCATCAACCTTCACAGGTATGCATTGCCCCACAAGTGAGCATAGGCTCAGCCAAGCAGATTACCAAAGCTTGGTACTTTATAAAGAAAAAATATCTATTTGGCTTCTCATTCATGGTGCTGGTGTCTGGCAAGGGCTCTCTTGGCTGTGTCACAGCATGGTTTAGTGGAAATAGTCACATGCATAGGGCTGTCTATGAGAGGTAACCTCACTTGAAACAGTTTCTTCCTTAAAGCCAACAATAAGAAAGGTGGGATTCCTCAGCACCTTCCACTAGACCTCACTTTAAAAAAAAATTCATCTATTAAGCCAGATGGTGGTGGCGCACACCTTTAATCCCGGCACTTAGGAGGCAGGATCAGGTAGAGCTATCTGCTCAAGGCCAGCCTGGTCTACACTATAAGTTCTAGGACAGCCAGGACTGTTACACAGAGAAACCCTGCTTGAAAGACAAGCAAACAATAACAACAAAAAAGTAAATCTATTCATTTTATTTATTTGGTTTGTCTCCCCCCAGGCATGGTTTCTCTGTGTAGCCTTGACTGTCCTGGAACTTACTCTGTAGACCAGACTGGCCTTGAACTCACATAGATCCACCTGTTTCTGCCTTCTGAGTGCTGAAATTAAAGGGCATGTGCCACCATGGCCCAGCTCATTTTCTTTTATATGTGATTGTTTTGCCTGTATGTATGTATATGCACCATGTGCATGCTTGGTGTCTTAGGGTTTCTATTGCTGTGAAGCGACACCATGACCATGGCAACTCTTATAAAGGAAACATTTAATTGGGGTGGCTGCCTTACAGTTTCAGAGGTTCAGTCCTTTATCTTCATGGCAGGGAGCATGGCAGCGTGTGGGCAGATATGGCAGCTATACCTGAGAGTCCTACATCTTGCAGGCAACAGGAAGTCAACTGAAACACTGGATGGTATCCTGAACATAGGAAACCTCAAAGCCCGCCCCCATAGTGACACACTTCCTCCAATAAGGCCGTATCCACTCAAAGCCATACCTCCCAATAGTGCTACACCCTATGATATTATGGGATGAATTGCGTTCAAACCTAGACCCTGGTGTGTTTCAGAAAAGAATAATGGATCCCCTGGAACTGAATTTATGGGTAGTTATGAACTATTATGTGGATGCTGGGATTGAGCCAAACAAGTGCTCTTAACTGCTGAGCCATCTCTCTAGCCCTCTTTGTGTTTTGTTTTGTTTTGTTGAAATAGGGTCTCAATATGCAACTCTAGCTAGCCTCAAGCTCATAGAGATCCAACTGCCTC